TTGATCAGGAGAGGCACATGGAGTAAATGTTAAGGCTTAACATTTAACAAGCAGCCCAACCCCCAAAACATGTGAAGTCAACAGAACGGTCTTACTCTGCACCTGTCCCTTTAAACTAGAAGAACAGGGCTTATAAAGACCAACAAGGTATAACAGATACAGACCAACTTCCAAAGGATGGATGCAAATGAAGGACATCAGAATCAAATCAAAAAGAAGGGTGAAAAGAAATAAAAATACAGAGAACATAAGGCAAAGACTTCCTATTCTAGATACCTTTTTGCCAAGACTTTGCACTGAAGATGCAAACAAAATCATTCTGCACAGTCCAGCTGCTGTTGGCCTGGCTTGACTTGAAGCTCAAGCAATATTAATTCATGCTCTGGCCTCCTCTTACCATTCCATCTGCCTGAATCCTGTAAATAACACATCTGTGGAGAACTGGAGCCCACCTTTCAGCCCGGTCATGCTCTTGAATACTTAGAGTCTAAGGCAGGTGAAGCTCCAGGGCTTAATTTAACCCCTTCCTTCTTACTTTGAGCTACTGCCTGCCCCCTGCTTCATCTTATATCCACACATTTCCTGCCATTGTAGGAGGAGAGCCACATTAGTCTGTGGTGGCAAAAAATCAAAAGGAGCCTGGGAGCCCCTTTTCTGACTCACAAATTAGTCATAAGCTTCATCAGATGCATAGATGCATCATTCTCTGCATCTGACAAAGTGATCTGCAGCTCATGAAAGCTTATGCCTTTTAATAAAATCTGTGAGTCAGAAGAAGTGCTACTAAACTCTATTCCATTTTTTCCCACCTTTCCTGCCTAAACCTATTATCACATTAACACAGAACCTGCTCAGCCAATTCTTCTCTACATTATTTTAGTGAATTACACTCAATTACAACAATTTGCTATGAATTACAATAATTCACTACAGTTACCTTCTCCTTAATGGTTTCCTTTTGATAGTCCTGTTTCTACAACATGTTTAACTGAGTTAGTGTCAGGCTTTGCCCCAGAGCTCAGCAGTAACTCTGAGTTCTCCAGGCACTGAATCCCTATTCAGGAATAGGCTAGTCAGCAGAAGGCTCTCAGACACAGCTCAACTGTTTTAGACTCAGCAGTGCAGACAATAAGACCACATACAGTCAGGTGATTTGCTCCAGCAGGGCAAACAAATCACATCTGTGATCTATTATTCAGGACTTAAGTATGCACTCATGGTATTTGCAGGACATTCTAGCATCATTCTGTGTACCCGTCATGCAGAATAACAATCCCTTTATTCCTACCTACCCTGAACATGGGTCAAGCAAAAGTTAGAAGAGACAGTTGAGCTCTCATAGAGATGGCTTAGAACAGTGTTAGGGTTAGGGTTAGGGTTAGGGTTGCTGGCTGGGGAATTCTGGGAGTTGAAGTCCACTCATCTTAAAGTGGCCAAGTTTGGACAACACTGGCTTAGAAGAAAGAGATGTGGTGGATTGTTTCATAACTGCCACCAGCGAAGTTTATCTCATAGGGCTTCCCTGTCACCCTTTTCCAGCTGCATCTCAACCTTTCCTAAAAACTACAAATGGTGGGCAATATTTTCCTGTGGAAGTGACATTCATATCTGATACATGCTTTTAATCCAATGAATGCTCACCTTTGCATGGCAGGTACTTACAAGGACTCAGTAAAATTAGTTTTTTGTTTCATTGATCACCCAAATGTCTTTTAAGTAAAGAGCGCTATATGAAACAGATTTCTAATCTTTTCACTACATATCCCTCAAAAGCCAGTGGCATTCATCTTACTAATTGGGATGTCAAAGACCATTATTTTTCATTATGCCTCTGCCCTTCACATTATGTAAATAGTCCAATGCTGAGAAAAATCAATGCGCTGTTATGGCAGGTAAGGTGGGGGCAAAATTAGAAAACGCTTTAGTGATTCTCTAGTTTCTAAATCTTCTGTTTACAGACAAGCCTTTGTTGAACAGCATGTAGTTATTTTGTGGTATATATACACACACACTTAGCCCAATCAATACTAAAAAATTCTGTGTTATTCAGAATGCCCTTCATTTATTATTTATTTATTTATTTTATTCATCATATTTATATAGCTGCCCATCTCACAAAACGTGTCTCTGGGCAGCGTACAATAAAAACATACCATAAAATAAATAATATTAAAAACATTCTACAATTAAAAACATCCACCAGTATTTAATGTAATCTACACTGTACTTAGTCTCCCTGAACATTAAACTTCAGGACATGCTCTGGTGCAATAAGTGATCTGTGACCCCCAACCCTTTCATCTGGGCCAGGCTAAGAAACTGTTGTGACCACGTCTTCTACTGCATGACACGCTAAGCTTAATTACAACAAAAGGCCAGTTAACAAGCACATGGATGCCCTCTCCCCCTTATGCACGGTTGTGTCCAAATGTTAGGTTTACTCTATCTTTGTGACCAAGTTTTGTCTTAGCTTATGCACTGCAGTTTCCACTCAGAAAATACTGCAAGCTTAAGACTTGGGGCAGTTTATAAATGCTGTCAAAAAAAGGAAGAAAGGAAGGAAGATGTGATAGCCCAATTAAGTTAACAGGGTAATGCGAGCATTGTAAACCACAGTTACGTAATAGTAATACAGTATCTTCTTGGGCTCACAAATCTATTATATTGAGCAAGTATTTTGGAATGTGGCAATATTCCAAGGAACAGGAGAAAGTAGGCAATGAGAAATTTTGCAGGAGAGGTGGTAAGTAAACTGTTTTTTTTTAACTGGGTATATTTGCGATGGGTCCAGTTGATTTGCGATGGGTCCAGCAAAAAAGTCTGGAGATCCCTACTTCAGAAATATAATCCTTAACCATTGGCCATGGAAAAGGGCACCATAGAAAGAAAGAAAGAAAGAAAGAAAGAAAGAAAGAAAGAAAGAAAGAAAGAAAGAA